TGATCGTCTCTGAACTCCATGGGGGCGTATGCTCCGCCCATCAGGGGGCAGGCACGTTAGCTAGGAAGGTCGTCCTCCAGGGGTACTTTTGGCCAACAATAATGAAGGATTGCGCTGACTATGCAAGGAGATGCAAGACATGCCAGAAGTTCCAGAAGAGCCCCGGCCGACCAGCAACGATGTACACACCGATCAGCACTGCCCTTCCATTCACAAGATGGGGTGTCGACCTGGTCGGTCCCTTACCAACCGGGTCGGGAAACCGGAAGTTTGTCATCGTCGCGATGGACTACTTTACGAAGTGGGTTGAGGCCGAGCCGCTTGCCATCATCACACATCTCCAATGTAAGAAGTTCATATGGAAGAATATTTTCTGCCGGTTTGGGGTTCCCCTCCAAATAATCTCCGACAACGGAAGGCAGTTTGACTGTGAAGCCTTCCGGCAATTCTGTGCAGAGTGGGGAGTAGAATCCAGCCGAGTTGCGGTCTGCTACCCCCAGGCAAATGGACAGGTGGAGAACACCAACCGGACGATCGTCGATGGACTGCAAAAGAAGTTGGAGGCCCTCGGGACTGCCTGGGTGGAGGAGTTGAACAATATACTCTGGACCTTCAGGACAACCCCAAGGAAGGCAACAGGAGAGACCCCCTTTGCCTTGTGTTATGGCTTTGAGGCGAGGGCACCATTCGAGGCCGTGGTTCCCAGCCGGCGAGTAGAAGAGTTCGAACCAGCCAGCAATGAGGAGAGGCTCCGAGCCGAGCTCCACCTCATTGAGGAAAGAAGAGACTGTGCCTTATCACACGAGAAACTGAACCGCTAGACCTCATACATACGGATCTATGTGATCTTAAGTATGAAGAAACTAGAGGTGGGAAAAGGTATTTCATCACCTTCATCGATGATAGCACTAGATATTGCTATCTGTATTTGCTAAGAAGAAAAGATGAAGCGATTAGTGCTTTTAAGCATTATAAAGCCGAAGTTGAAAATCAACTTGGTAAGAAGATTAAGGCACTAAGGAGTGATAGAGGTGGTGAGTATGAATATCCATTTGAATCAATTTGTTTGGAAAGTGGAATTATTCATCAAGTAACCGCTCCTTATACACCTTAATCAAATGGAGTAACCGAAAGGAAGAATAGGACTTTAAAGGACATGGTTAATGCCATGTTAGTAAGTTCTCGTGCACCAAACGACTTGTGGGGGGATGTTATTTTTGCTGCCAACTACATTCTAAATAGAATGCCTCACAAGAAAACTCTCAAAATTCCATATGAGTTATGGAAAGGGCGCAAGCCAAGTTTTAATTACTTGAAGGTGTGGGAATGTCTAGCTAGAGTAGCTATTCCCAAACCTAAGAGGACAAAACTTGGACCAAAAACTATTGATTGTGTCTTTGTCGGATATGCACAAAATAGTAGTGCATATCGTTTCCTTGTCACAAATCCCATAACATGGATATGGTGGCCGATACTTTTATAGAATCTAGAGACGCTACATTCTTTGATAATGTATTCCCTTTCAAGGGAGATTGTGAAGTTGTCTCCTCCGACATGGATGTTTTCATTCCAACCCATGCCGAAGAAACAAACTCACATAAGAGGCCATTTGATTCTATAAAAGATAACAACGAAATAGCGCAAGAATGTGAAGTGGGACGCAGCAAAAGGGCTCGAAAATCAAAAGATTTTGGACCCGATTTTGTTGTATACCTTCTAGATGATGAGCCTCAAACTTATAAGGAAGCCATGTCCTCACCAGACGCTGCCCAATGGCAAGAGGCTATCAAGAGTGAAATTGATTCCATCATGTCTAATCACGTTTGGAAAGTTGTAGATTTGCCTCCTGGGTCCAAACCTCTAGGATGCAAATGGATCTTCAAAAAGAAAAGAAGAACTCATGGAACAATTGAGAAGTACAAAACTCGATTGGTTGCCAAAGGATACAACCAAAAGGGAGAATTTGACTACTTTGATGTCTACTCTCCAGTTACAAGAATAACTTCAATTCGAATGCTATTGGCAATAGCTTCATTGAAGGGTTTGGAAATTCATCAAATGGATGTAAAAACTTCATTCTTAAACGGTGACTTAGAGGAAGAGATTTACATGCAACAACCTGAAGGTTTTACTGTCCCCGGACAAGAAAAAAAGTTTGTCGCTTAGTAAAATCTCTTTATGGGTTAAAGCAAGCCCCCAAACAATGGCATGATAAATTTGATAGTGTAATGCTGTCAAATAGATTCAAATCAACGAGGCCGACAAATGTGTGTATGTGAAAGGCAATCAAAATGACTACGTCATAGTTTGTCTATACGTAGATGATATGCTCATTTTCGGTAGTAACAAAAATTTGATAAAGGCTCGCCGCCTAACATCGCTGGCCAAGCAGCTCGCACTCTCGTCATCCCTGAGTTGGCGGTGCGGGTTCGTTCTGGTGGATCATGCAGGGTCCGCCCCTGTTGTTTGGCTATCCATGCGGTAGTAACCAGATTATTCCCCAAGTCCGGGCAAACTGGACGGGTTAAAGTGACAGTAGGACTGACCCTCGGGTCATGAACGTTCAGGATACCGACCTAAGGGTCTTCCTCGTCGGTTCAATGTCCGACCTTGCTGGCCAAACAAGTCGCTTACTTGTTGATTCCATATCAATAGCGAACAGATCACTTCTACCCAACTAGGAGGGGCACGGATAGGCTCGGCCACGCCAGCCTAACCGCCCCCCGGGAGGTTAGAGAAGCCAGATCCCCGAATAAATTGCTAAGTATTCGTAAGGCAAAGTATAGAAAAGGAGGCGTATGAAATAAAAATCAAACATCCACGAGGTATTCAAGTGGGAAACAAAGGAAATACAAAATACAATGTCACGGCTGGACAGACCCATCGCCATCAACCTCGGGAATGTCATCTAACACACCAACCAAGTCCTGGCCAGGGGCCACAGGAGTCATGTTCCCCGGAGCTGGCGGAAAGAACCAAGCCCATTCGTTAGAACTACCAAGCTCCTCCTCCTGACGGACGGCCTCTGGAGGAAGAAGGGCTATCGCCTCCACGGGTTTCTTCATGCGGCCGGGAAGGCCGAGTGTGGATGGATGAAAGTCAGGGTCTAGATCCTTCAACCGGCCATACACCTTCTGCTGCATCAAATACTTGCCACTCTAAAAAGCATAGAGGACTTCGCGAGCGCGCCAATACTCTCCGTCGAGGGTCGTCAGCCACCTCTGCACCAGTTCAGACTATTCCGCTTGCACCCTCGCAGAGACGAGCTTCTGGAACTGCTCGGAGGCCTGGAACTCGGAGAGCGCTTTCTTGGCTCCTTGTTTGGCCGCTTCTTCACATTCTTTTGCACGCGAGGACTGCAGCTCGGAGAAGGCTTTCTGGCTGGCCCACAGGGCAGCCCTAGCCTCGTCAGCCTCACGCTGAAGCCTGGCCTGAGAATGATTGGCTGCGTGAAGTGCCCTGATGGTCTTGGCGAGCCCCTGCAAGATAGACAAACGAAAATGTGAGGGGGTTCAGGGATAAACACAATCCACATCAAAACGTGATCAACCTACCTCGATATGTGCCCGCCTTGGTCGCCCAGGGGAAGGGCAATGCCAGCCAGCAGTGGGACGGCCGTCGGCTTCCTAAGCAAAGTCTACCGGCAGAGTGGCGGCCGCCGGTCCGATCCCCAACCAACATTGCTCGGCCTAGCTCCATGGGGAACCGCACATATGGGCATTAGCTTGCCTCAGCCCTAGTTCCTTCGAGGCCCGACAACAGCCGGCCAAGAAAGGGACGGTGCCGCTCAACTTGGACTCGAGGAACCACCTGGCCGCTCGGCTTCCTACGCAACGATGCTTGGCAGCGGATGAACAACATGGACGCCCGTGAGAAGGACAAATCCATCCGGCCCGAGGGCGCTTGGTCACCCAGCCGTCTAGCCGCCAACCTCTTGGGTGACACCGTCCGACAATGGGGTGGCCGCCGATCCCTATAGCGTGCGCCGGCCACCACAGGAGCCCAGGCCCGCCAGCCAGATTCACCGGGCTGCAGGGGCAACATCGGCGACCGTTGGGTGGCACAAGACAGCCCGCCAATACCTGTAAATTGCGCCGACCAAGGTTCAGGCCGGCCGGCCGGCCGACCAGATTCGCCGGACTGGCGGGCGACGTCAGCAACCGGCGGCCAACACAGGACGTCCGCCTGGCACGACGGGGGCGACACGGGGAAGCTACGGGGGGCGGTCAACCACACCAGCTTGGGACGGCGGCACTGCGCGACGCGAGGAAGACGGACGCGAGGAAGACGGACGCAGGAGAGAGAGGAAAGAGAAGAAAGGAAAGAAAAAAGAAAGGAAAGAAAAAAGAAAGGAAAGAAAAGAAAAGGAAAGAAAAGAAAAGAAAGGAAGAAAAGAAAAGAAAGGAAAAGAAAAAAAAAAGGAAAGAAAAGAAAAGGAATGAATTTATTTGGAGCCTTTTTTGGGAGCCTGATTTAATTTGGGAATTTCCATAAACTCTAGGATTCCCATAATCCACAATTATGGCTCCCTGATATGTTAATATTTTTAAATCGGCAGCTGACTTAAACTACTCCCTCTTAGCCGAGTCTACTACTCGACTAAGGGAGTGGGGGACTCGTGATGGGGTTATGGGACTAGGCCCAGAGCCTAATCAGCCCAGGCCCCGAACTTGGACCAGCGGGCCCAAGCCCAGCAACCCAGAGCTCGAGTCAGCCCGACCAACCAGGGCAATCAAGGAGCGGAAGCCCAAGAGAGCCTGTCGACCAGCCCAGCGGGGAGCCTGCGGTCCAGCCTACCCGGGAGCCTGCCTTCCAGCCTAGCCAGGAGCCTGTCGACCACCAGCCCAGCTGGGAGCCTGCGGTCCAGCCCAACTGGGAGCCTACGGTCCAGCCTACCCGGGAGCGTTCCTTCCAGCCTACCCGGGAGCCTGCGGTCCAGCCCAACTGGGAGCCTGCGGTCCAGCCCAGTGGGGAGCCTGCCTTCCAGCCCAGTGGGGAGCCTGCCTTCCAGCCTAGCCGACCACCAGCCCGCTGGGAGCCTGCGATCCAGCCCAACTGGGAGCCCGCGGTCCAGCCCAGGTGGGAGCCTGCCTCCAGCCCATCGGGGAGCCTGCCTTCCAGCCTACCCGGGAGCCTGCCTTCCAGCCTACCCGAGAGCCTGCCTCCAGCCCGGTGAGAAGCCTTCCTCCAGCCTAGCGGGAAGCCCACCGTCCAGTCCAGCAGGAGGGAGCTCAAGCGTCCAGCCTGCCAGCCAGGCTGACCTGCCAGCCAGGAAGAGTAACGGCCAACAATCAATGCGCTACTTAATTATGTGTTTAATTCCGTATTAATGTTGTAATTAATTTAGTCATTATTATGTTCGGCAGTTACCATTTGTAATCGCCCATAAAAGGCAATTCGAATTTCAAATACAGATATGCTATTTCTGGCTAACTTTCCATATTCGTACTTTCCTAATTCCTGCTTGAGTGTCGTACGTAGCTTTCCTAAAAGCCTACGAGCGTCCTATTTTGGACCAACAGATGTATACCAAAGACTATGGTTTACATTTTCAAAAATATCCAGCCGTGCTTGAGGGATATACCGATGCAAATTGGATATCCGATTCCAAGGACATAAAATCAACGAGTGGATATGTGTTTACCCTTGGAAGTGGTGCTGTGTCGTGAAAATCTTCCAAACAAACATGTATTGCTAGATCTACCATGGAAGCTGAATTCATTGCCTTAGATAAGACAGGAGAAGAAGCTGAATGGTTGAGAGAGTTTTTGGAAGATCTTCCTTGTTGGGAAAAGTCTGCCCCTCCAATATCCATTCATTGTGATAGTCAAGCTGCAATTGGAAGGGAAAGGAATGCAGTTTACAACGGTAAGTCTAGACACATCCGTCGTAGACATAATACCATTAAAAAACTAATAAAAAATGGGATCATCTCTCTTGACTATGTTAAGTCGAAAGAAAATATTGCGGATCCGCTAACCAAACCTCTACCAAGAGAGTTAGTCGAGATGTCAAGGAGAGCGATGGGCCTACGGCCAATGATCCAATAAAGTTCATGGGGAAACCCTACCTATTATTGAGAGTGCCTCATAATTAGGTTCAAAGGGAAACACAACTGTGGACTAGCTCGGGCGGTACTAGCCAAGATATAGTACACTCATGCCAAGAGCATTTAGGGTAAGTTACGCTTTTGATGATCTCTATATCTTGATTCGTTCAAGTAAGGTATGACATGATACCTTCCATAGAGATCACCTATGCTGGTGGAAGAAGCCGAAACGAACAAAAACGTGAGAACCAAAGATGCACTCGTGAGAACCAAAGATGCATAGGGTTAGGTAGTCGTGAAACTTTGAACCTACCTTAGTGTATATTCATCGGATTTACTGGACAATCGATAGCACTTTGTTTACACATTGGCTGACGGTTCAAAGCAAAGTGCTACCGATTGTCCAGTAAATCCGATGAATATACACTAAGGTAGGTTCAAAGTTTCACGACTACCTAACCCTATGCGGAGTTCCCATCTTCCCATGTCAAATTCCAATCTGTTTCTTGTCTTTAAGCCAATTTACCATTCATGTGGGGGGATTGTTGGAAAAGTGATTTTACAAATTAATATTATGGTCATTAATATTATTTGTAAAAATCATTTTGAAATGAACGAGAAATTGTTTCCCGAAAGATAAGTGTGAAATTATATCTCACACGCAAACACCGTCACCGCCGTTCAGTTGGCCTAGTCGAGTTTCGGGTTAGAGTCTTAAACCGTCCGCCCGAGTATATGGATTAAGGATAACTCTATTAGTCGTTCTCAATTTTGGATAATGTTTGGCAATAGACACATCCCTTGGTTTTAGAAGGAGGGTCACGACCTTTCTTTCTAAAGGTGTTTTTTGGGTGTAGAGACTTCTGGCCAGAGCTCTATATATACCAATGACTGCCAACATTTTCCATCAATCCGAAAATCATCACACAATCCTCCATATAATATCTTCCTTCGTTGCATCTTTGAGTTCGCCAGAATCTCGTTGGGAGCGAAGAACCGTTCTATCCTGAGAGACGATTGCTACGTGTGTCGGGCAAAAACGTCTTAAAGAAATAACGCTTAAGTTGGGGTCGGTTACAAATAATCTTACGTTTTTCTAAATTATTTATTCGTTATTTCATTTGCATGCAGAATATTGTACTTCAAATAACAATGTATGGTATCTGACTATCTGGACACCTATTTATGAGGTGGACAATTCGGCCCTTCGAATGACGAACTTCACAACAGAGCATGTCATGCTTATAACGTACTCCCTCCGTCCCTGTTTTTTCTCCCATTTCGGCTGGGCACATTAATTAAGATAGTGGGTTTTGTGTGGTGGAGAGTTGTGCAGAGGAGAGAGAAATGTGTAAGAATGATTGTGAACAACAAATTCTTTGCCAAAAAGGGAAGGAGGAGATAATTTTGGAACGAACGAAAAAGGAAAGTTTGAAGATAATTCAGGGACGGAGGGAGTACTACATAATACTTTCTGACATTTTATAACATGAAGTACACCATATAACCTTTCATAAAATCAGAATTTTGAGATCCATATAAGTCTTAAACTCATTTGTTTGAAATCTGATTTTCTTTTTTACTTTTTATTTTCTTTGTTATAATAATTTAATCAATATAGAAAGATTTACTTTAGTTATTTAAGTACTGTTTATTTTCAATGGTGATGTTTTAATGATTTAAACACACATCAGCCAATCAAGTTAGAATTTAACACACAAATTACCCGCATGGGTAGCTCAGTTGGTTCAGTGGTGGGAAATTTGGACCAAGTGACCAAGGTTCATAATCCGCAGCGGTCGTGTAGAGTTCGCAGAACCTGAAATAAGGCTGGGCCTGTGGTGCGCACCGGAAAAAGGTCTACCATCATTGGATCGACTGAGTCACCATGATTAACATCCTCCCAAAAATCCTATCGGGTCGGGGTATGGGGGGCTCCTGGGGTGGGAGATTCCACCTTTTGGACCAAGAATTTAACACACAAAGTTTTATTTACAATCAATCTATTTTTCAGTTCCAGATTGGGGCGTCTTTTGTTTACGATCACGGAATAGTATGGCTTTTGTAACAGAATGTGGGAAGTACACATAATCCATTTATTTATTTTATATTTTATTTGATTTTATGTTAAAAACCTATTCCTAAACATATCACAACCAATATTCACACTATTTAACTTTTTTAGATTAGTTAATATAGTTCAATTTTTTTAGATATATATCTGAATTTAAAAGATTGTTCTTAGTTCTCTTCCTAACAAACCCAACCTTTCCAATTATATTTTATACTAACTCTCTCGGACTCTGAAGAAGAAGAAGACCCGTTTTCACCGGAGAAATATGTGCGATTGGCGTTGATAAGGAGGGCGGCCGCCGTTGATGGTGTAGGGGCTGCATTTCATAGCGGGCGGAGTGGTTGCGTTCAATCGATTAGGTGTAGTATTGGAGTATATAAGTAGATAGTTCAAATAGTAGTGGAAATTTATTAAAACTTATCTGTGTATATATAATACTGGTGATGAGGTAATTTTCATATTGATGGTGAATGAAACTAATCTAATGCGGTGATGAGGTAATACACTGCCTGTGTGCTATATCTGTTGTTTGAGTTATCTATTCAAACTAATTTTTGTAGGTGGAGCTATATTTCCATACACTACTTGGATTTTATTTAAGTTGAAGAATGTTGAGGTCAAAATCTAAAAATTAAGAATTTTAATGATTGGACTCAGTTGCAATTTAAGTAGAAATTAATTTCAAATGAGATAACTCTACATTATTAGTACTCCCTCCGTCCCAGAATTATCTTCATTCTTTCCTTTTCGGTTCGTCCCAAATTTATCTCCTTTTTCCCCTTTTGATAAAGAATATGTGGTTCACAACCATTCTTACACATTTCTCTCTCCTCTGCATAACTCTCCACCACACAAATCTCACTATCTTAAAACTCGTGTCCGGACAAAACTGGAGTTAAATATGGGACGGAGGGAGTACTAGTACCAAATCGAAAAAGTAGCAACATTAACAGTATAAGTTACTGTTCACTTTTTTATTTTCCAACTTTCACAACTGGCAACTTCAGTTCGTTTGTGGCGGCTGAACTCCATTCCTTCTTTCCAATTTTATGTACCTATATAAAGGTCCCCTTTCGTTTTGCAGACATTTTAGAAGGTGTCACTGTTTAGACACTATTTTGCATTGTTTCACATTATTTTGTTTATCAAATAAGGAAAAAGGACTTTTATTTAGAGACGGTGTGAAAAGGAAAGTGAGACTTTTATTTAGGAACGAACGGAGTAATAAGTTGAGAAAAAATTGAAGTACTAAATAGGGAAACGGTCAAATACACCATCTCACTGTATCAATAAAGTCAAGTAAGCTCCGGAACTAAATAAACTACTCCGGTATGAATTATGAGCTTCAACTTTAGAAAAATGTTCAAATCTTTAATTTAACCCGTTATTGCCGGTTAACCGGTTATTCTTCTAACTTGGCGTTGGTGATCCAGGTGCCATTTTTCTTTTCTTTTTCCTTTTATTCTTTTGTCACTTCGGCCCTGCTACCTTCTTCATCATCCATTTGTTTTCTTCCCCCTGCGTATTTCCTTCTCGTGAGCTGTCTTCTCCGCCGGCACATTTGCGGAGAACCTAATGGTTAGATCTATGAAGCAATCAAGATTGCGGAGGTCCCAATTGTTGTCTTCAAACGAATCCAAATTAGTCATTCTCTATGGATCTATGGATTGGAGGGGAAGAAAAAGAAAAAAAATAAAAAATGCCACATAGTCTGCTATGCAAGCACAATACCTGATTAACCTCGAGTTTACGGGTTAAATTAAAGATTTGAATGTTTTTGTAAAGTTGAAGATCATAATTGAGTATTTCTTTTGTTGGAGTGCTTGATCGAGAACCCGTTTGGTAACACTAAAATTGGCTGAATCGGCTGATTCTGCTGAAATTTATGAAGTTCTGACTGGAGTGGCTGTATGCCTGTATTGGCTGATTCTGCTGATTTTTAAAAAAATTATATATAAAATATTTGGTATTAATAAATAAAATAGAAAATTATATGAAAAATATCTAAAATGATCATCTACTGTCAGGGGCGGACCGTAGTACAGACCCAGGGGGCAACCGCCCCCCAACAAGAATTTTTTTTAGTGTATATATATATGAAAAACTATTTTCTCCCTCCCAAAAAATATTTTAAAACCCCCAAAAAATATTTCCGCCCCCCAAGATGACTT